TTTATCACCGACAGCACCACGGAAAAGACGAACACGAGGAAGTAGAACTTCAACAATGTATCGATGGCCCGTCATAGTCCCATTCGCAACCACATGAAGGCGCGTACGGCCGTTGATCATGATGCCGGCCCACACCATGATACTGCATGTCGGATATCGGTCCTTTTCCTGGATATTTTCTGGACGATAAGCAGTACCACTCTCGCGCCAAATCAGTTGGCGTCTACAATCCGATGACAGACTGAACCTACTCTCATCTGAGAATAGTACGCATGCCCAGTCCTGTTCAGTCCAATTGTGATGCTCACGACACCATTGCAAACGGGCAGTACGGTGCTGTCTGGTCAATGGGACACACACAACAGGTCTACGTGAGTATAGTCCTCCTCCCCTCAAACGTCTGGCAACAGTTTTTCGGGAGATCTGCTTTCCTGAGGCAGCAAGAAACTGATTTGCCACCTGCTGAGCTGTGGTGCGCATGTTCTTTTTTGCTGATAGGACGATATAGCTGTCTTCTGCAGGCGTCTCGTACTTCTAACACAACCTCCCCCGTGCCGTCTACTACACATTCCAGTAGTTTTAAATGACTTCCACAGCCGTGAAACAACGCTGTGAGCGATGTGGAACTCCCTGGCAACATCTATTTTTTTTCGCCCTTCTTCGATCTTTCCAATAATTCGGCAACGCATAAAATCATCTACATGCCAAAAGTTTTAAGTTCGTCTATTAAATCTTTCCTGTAAAACTTTGACTTGAAACAACAACTGTCCACACGCGTCAAAGCCTTTAAAGCTCTTATGAACGCTATCACGTGATGAACAGACGTGGAAAAAAAATTTGCATACTCATACTTCTTCTTACTAATATCCCGCACTTATTCTAATTTTCCACATTTTGCTTCCTTTCATTTTGTGGTTGCTATGGATGATAGTGTTATCCGTCCTTAGCAATTGTCCAGCAGTGTAATATAGGATATTGAATTGTTATAATGGTGCCGTAGAAACCTTGTAGAGTAAAGGACGACAAGTGGTCGGCTATCGTAAATTGAATATTTAGTTTAACAATATTGTTTTGAATATATTAATGGAATATGTACTTCTTATTAAGTATAACATATAAATTTTTCCTTCGAAGATAAGGGTTTTTAACTTAGCAAGATAAAAAAACAACAACCGCACTTAACGATAATAAAATTTGGGGGAGTCTTCTCCATTAAATTTTCTGGTTTAAAATAGTATGAATTGTTACACTGGACACCGAAGTCGTAAGAAGATGTGAAATGGACACTGAGGAATGATGTCGTTTGTTAGCTTAAGGTATCCGACTACGTTCGGAGCCGTGATTTTAAAAAATAGCATAAATGGATGATTTTCATGATATTAAGTATCACTTAGATTAGAATACATGTATAAAATGGTTTTAAAGACATTATAACAAAAAAATCATTTAAATACAATATTTTAGCAAAAAATTCACTTAAAATAACCTTTTTTCAAAACGCTCTCCTTTTAACAAAAATGTTTTTATAATAATAATATTTTGCTTAGATAAAGTAAAGACTTCTCTCCAGAGAGTTTGAACTAGGAGTTTTGAAAAATTCACATTATTTTCAGGGTTACCACTAATTGAAATAATTATCGGCGTTCTTTTGTTAAAATTTCTCCCCTCTGTTGTAGTAAAATATGGATAAATCCACTTCTAAGTTATATATTTCAAAAATTATAGTTAAGCCTCTGTACAGGCAAAATATTATAATAGAAGCATTTTTCATAAAAGGACAATGCTTTGAAAATGGGCCATTCTTTGTTAATTTTTTGTCAAAATATTGTGAAATAATTTTTGTATTGTAAAAATATTTTTAAAACAATTTTATATACGTGTTCTAATCTAATTGACACGAAATATCATAAATATTATCCATTTATACGCTTTTGCAAATTCACGGTTCCGAACGTAGTCGTATACCTTAATGTGATTGTAGCGGGCTATATATATCTCGTGAGGTTCCTTCTCTAAACTAACCTGGGATAATTTTCCTAACAATTTATTGAGTACTTCTTAGAGTAGAAACGGAACATGCAGATTAATTCTAATGTATAAAAGTGAGTGAATGAGAGAGAAAATGTATAGCTAATAGTTACTGTGAGTTAATGGGCAGTTAGGAATTTTTTTAACGGATATTTTCACTTTCAGTTTGAGAATTATATCCATCCATATAATATAGTAATTTCTCTTCTAGGCTTAGGAACACTTAATGCACTTCCCTTTGGAAAATTCTTCGGTAAATGGTATTGAACTACTGATTCGAGCCCTCTAGACACTGATAAGCTTCCGCCGTTTGGTGGGAGTTGTAGTTCGAGAGTATATAAGCTTACAGATAAGTGCATTTTTTGTTATTTTAATATAGTGATGAAAATCTTCCTCGTATATCTTGGTTAAGGAAAGCATTATACATAAATAAATTAAAACGAGTATTTTAGTTTGTGGCTATATTTTAGTGTTCGGTGTCATGTCGGCTACTCCTATTTTAAGGTTGACAGTAAATAACAATCTCTCAAGTACGAGACATTTGGGGACCATAACAGGATCTGAAAAGGATGGTAATTCATTCTTTTTTTTATACCAATAGGAGTATTATTATTATCAAAACACAGTATATACTATTTTATATTATACTGATCGAATTTATCCAATCAATATTCAAGAAGCAGAAATGCAAACAGATCCAAATTAGAACATAAAATCCTGTTTAATTTAATTCCTCTTAAATGTAGTGCAGAGTTTCTCAAACTGTAATGCGCGCCCACTTAGGGGGACGTGTAAACTCTAGGGGGTGCGAGAATATTGAACAGTCAAAAATAAAAGATTGTTCATTTACAGAAAGGAAGCAAAACAAAATACACTGCTGGCCACCGTAAATGCAACAACAAGAGAGACAAGAGATAGCATAACAAAATTTACTTTGTAGATAACATGTTGACCAAGTATCCAACAAGTAAATTTATAGACTTCTGTAAAGTGTGGATCCTGCCAGAATCAGAAGCCAGAGTAGCCGCCATTGTTGGAGATCACCGCTGCCACACGTCTCGGCATTGATTCAAAGAGACTTTGGATGTGTTATTGGGATACAGCAGACAAAGAAGCTTCCACACGTTGCCAAAGTTGATCCGGTGTGGCAGCTGGGGGTGTAATCTGGGTCAATTGTTGATCAAACATGGACCACATGTTTTCGATCGGTGAAAGATCCTTAGAGCGAGCCGGACAGGGAAGCAATTCAATCTGGTGATTGACGAAGAACCATTGGACAATGCGTGCCATGTATGGTTGCGCATTATCCTGTTGAAATATGGCTGTGGTCAAGCCCTAAAGGTAAGGAAGGACAACTGGCTCCAATATATCGGAGATGTAACGCTGGCTGTTTAAAGTACCATCAATGCGTACTAGAGGAGTGTGAGATTGATATCCAATACCGCCCCATACCATAATACCCGGTGGGGGAGCAGTGTGGCGGTGCATAACGCAGCTGTTCAGAATCCTCTCCCCCACGGTATCTCCAGACTCAAATCCGACCATCGTGGTGTTGCAGATAGATACGTGATTCGTCAGTAAAGACAACTTCATTCCATTCTGCCGCCCACATTCTTCTTTCATCGGACCATTGACGGCGGAGACATCTGTGGTTCTGCATCAAGGGTGGACCAAGCAGTGGACGTCTTGCAGACAGACCACTCTGCTGTAAACGGCGTCGAATGGTACGCGCAGACACTAAATGATGCGTTACAGACTCAATGTCATGTGACTGAGCGATCCATCACTGCCATGCGCACAATTTGCCTGTCCTCACGTGGAGTGGTGCACTGAGATGGATGCGATCGACCACGTTGTTCCGTCGTACCCTCTTACATCCATCGTTCACATATCCGCATTACAGTTGTTTGGTTTCGTCGAACACGACTACCGATTTCTTTGAAAGATAATCCACAATCTCGGTAGGCCACTATCCTTCCTCTGTCGAACTCGGATACTTGATCAAAAGCTGATCGCTGTTTTCTACGAGATATAACTAATCATTTTTTGAAAAAAACACAAGAAAAATCCAATTGCCGAACTTGAAATCGTCGAAATCTCCAAACCTTAAATAGCGCTTTGAGGTGGCGCCACAGGCGCGCGCGATGTGTGTCTGCGCTGAAATTGTAATCATGTGCATATCTCACCTCCGCTAATGCATGTTGTAAATTTAATGTTATTTGCATGCTTCTTTCAGGGTTCTGCATTTACGTTGGCCAGCAGTGTTCATTCTGACATAATAAAAAAAAAATAAAATACATATTTACATTGATATAATACACTTAAAAAATGTATAAGTGTATTATACATTTAAAATTGCACAGTGTATTTTTGATAAGTAATTTAACAATACTAAGTTAAGAGCAAGTTTGATAATTACTAGTGTATTATACATTTAAAATTGCACAGTGTATTTTTGATAATTAATTTAACAATACTAAGTTAAGAGCAAGTTTGATAATTACTAGTGACTCCATGGGCTATACTCAGTGTACTTTGAAAGTCTTGTCTTCAATCAAGTGCGTGCCGTTATTGCGTTACGTGAAGGTAATGGAACGTTCATTGTCTAGAGAATGTTTATAACCAATGAACATACCGTCTTGAAGTGTACATCTGTACACTGATAGAAAACATTACAGTGGCGCCAAAACCGTTGAAATTCATACTACGCATAAAAAAAGGACCACACACACCAAAAAAAAATCGTACAAAAATAAAATCGCATAAAAAAGGACCGCACAAAAACAGGTTCTACTTTACTTTCTTTTCGTCCATTCAAGTTCAAATACATTTTTTAAAATTTGTATTGGATGGCACTTGATGTAAATGCATTTTTTAAATATTAATTCATTAATTAAATTAAAAAATGAATAAATAGTAACAAACAAAAATAATAGTGCAACAGCAAAAAAGAAAGGAAAATCGTTCTTTGTGTCCCTGTAGCGCAATGTGTAGCGCGTTGGCCTTCTAATCCAAAGGTGGGTTCGAGTCCCACCTGGGATGGCTGAATTTCAGAGAATGTGATCTCATTTTTACAATACTATTTTATTAGAATAGTTGAATGTGATATTAATAAATAAATAGTAACAAACACACATAAGTAATCGAACACCCTATATAATAGGGAAAATGGAAAATTACAAGGAAAATTGTTTTCTATTTTGCCACTTAATAGTGTGATTCTGTCATATGTACATACATATTTGTATTAGTTCTAACTATTTAATAAAAAATAGCTAAAATAAAATCATCTTTCTTTGTTGACCTAAGTAGGATTTGACTTAAAGTTTGTTTTTTATATTACTTGTTTTATCGAATAAAGCATATTTATGAATCTTAATATAATGTTTAACATTTATACACAAGATGTCACATATGAAATATTAAATCTGTTTTATTTTTAAAAAGTTGAAATAATTGCAAAGCGAGAAGTAAAGAAAAATATGATCAAGAATAAAATTGAAACGGGTATTAAAAAACTGAAAAAAAAGTAAAGAGTACAATTTATATCTCTCAAGTAGATATCTAACACATAAATGTGAAATATATGCTGCTGAGATCTTATGGATGCTCTCAAAAAATTAATTAGAATTTGTGGAAAACTAATCGTCTACAATAATAAAAATACAATTAGCTGCATAAATTCTAGATAAAAGCTCTCGATACAGTAATTAGCTGATTAATTTGAGTTAAGCTAAGAAAATAATCAATCCTCATATCTTGATTAATATAGCTATTAATATGCATGTTTAGTCATAAAATTTCATTAAAGGCTGTCCAAAGTTAATTGTAATGACTGAATAAAATTGAAGTTTATTATTAATACATTGAACTATTAATTATTTAGATTTTAAGTATTGAAATTATAATTGAATTGCGCAGAGAGAGAAAACTAAAAAATATTTTTGATACCCTAAAACAGTATTGAGTTTTTCAAAATTGTGTTGATGATCCTTATATTCTGTTACTTTAAGCTTATTTAGTAAATGTTAAACAAGTAAACTTCTAAAAGGAATCATTATGTGTCCTGCAAAATTATTATATTGGCAACGATTTAAATATCGCGTCTATATAATGTGATACAAAGTGTAATCTTAAAGTTTGAAGTCCCTCGCCACAGAAGTATGAAAATCAACGATTTTAGCTTTTAGAAAAATGAAATGGATTTCTCCGTCACCGTTTTACCATTGTAAAATTCTCTGAAAACATTATAGATTATCACTTCCTTTCAAATGATGATATAAGTTTAGAGTAGAAAAAAAAGAACGAAATAGATCTTGATTGCAGAAGAATATGCAGATTTTCTCTCTGTCTTTTTTCCTATAAGAAAAAGATACTGATTCCAGGTTCTAAAAAATAATAAATAATATAATAAGCTTAATTATAATCATTAGGCTTATATGAAAATGATCATTTTTGCGAACTCATCGCCACTTAGGCACTAATTAATTTTTATTTCCAAAGATTGCAGTAAAATTTAATGCAATAAAAATAGTTCATTTTCCAATTGTTGACGCCTCGTGCGCCCTCTACCGTCCGTATGTAACATTCGGGCAGAAGCTGAATGACTGTCGGCAATCACTGACGTAGGTAACAACTGCTCTCACTACGAAATCCACAATCACTTTACTTATAACCTTTTAATTGTTTTTGTTAAGTTTATATTAAAAAATTAGTCGGAAGACTTAGTACGTCATATCAATTTATAACTCGTGACACTCACGAGTGCTAATAAATCGTGAAAAATATCTTTGAAATTTGATGATAGTTTGTGCTATAATATAAAAATAATCAGGTTAACAACGTGAATGAGTGAGTGAATATTACGTCGAACTGTTCAGCTACACGAGGGCTTTGGGCGAAGGACCACGTAATTGTGAACTATGGTCAAGTTACGTGGACGACATCTGAGCTGGTACCCCCTCTCCTAACTACCACACCAACGGGATGACGTTTCAGCTCTCGACAGTTTAACGTGCATCGCTCCCCTACACGACGGGTTCTTAGTGGTACTGGACTCGAACTCGTGAGAATGCCAGCCACGATCTGATACCTTGACCCCTCGGCTATCTCGGCCACTTAACAACGTGAGGGAAAAGGAAATAGTACAGAAACATGCGAAGGGAGTTTACTTTGAAGACAGATTTAACCACTGTGAAACATTGTGAGTTTTACCTCTGAGAAAGATTGAAAACAGTATTGATTATCTCCTCCTTTCTGATGACAATCCTAGTTAAAAGAAGGAGTTTCTATTGCAAAAAAAGCAGATTTTCTAATTTTTCTATCAAAAATTTCAGTTTAATAAAAAAAGAAGGTATTTTTGATACCATTATATGGCAATAGAGTTACTATTTTAGCAAATTTATCGCCACTTTTAGTGACAAATAATTCTGTCTTTAAGGAGTAGTCCCAAATGGGATCGAACAGAAAGGAAATTCTTCGAACGAAGTCTTATAAAATGCTCCATGGAAGAGTGCAGATTATAAATCCATTTTCTAACTTAAGGGAATAACATAACTCACATACTCTCGCGTATATGAGAGAGAATTCCAATATTCTACCTTATCTCTAATATTTCTACTTTCAGCAAATCTCCCAGAACGACAAAATCTTTTCCATTCTATCAGCGCTATCTCTTCGTGGCAATGAAAAGGTGATGCGATTTTCACCTTCAACAACTCCAAATGTACCGCCAGATTTCGATTTAATTGAATTACTAGTTTCAATGCTATACATCTGCAGCTTATTTGTAATCCAGCCAATCTTGTTGGTCAAAATGATCCAATCAGTTATGAGGCCGCATTAGGTGATGCGATAATTTTGATACGATAATGAAAGGTTTCATCCACTTCACACGAATAGCTTGCATTACAGGATCTTATCGCCTATAGAACCGCATGCCCCTTTCAGTGAAATGGTCGTTATGAAGTCGTGCTCGAAGCTCTTTTGTCATGTTACTGAATAAATGACTGCTCGCGGCTTTAAGAAATGAATGAACGGTTTCCAGGATTCTGAAGTAAATGGAATCAAATGGCATTCGGTGGACAGACGGATGGTTGCAGTGTTTGAATTTAAAACTACACGGATTAAATGATCGCTGAGAGAAAAGACGAAAGATATGAAAGGATCTGACGTTATTAACCAGAACCTACTGCATACGTAATGATATGAAATTCAGCTGAACGTTAATGAGCTGATTTAATTTCGCGAGAAGCAGTAATGTGTGATTTGAGAAAACAGCTTGTATGAAATTCGCTTTTAAATAATTTTTCTCTAAGTAAATATCTTTTTTTAAGTAAATGTTAATTAAAAATTACCGTAAAATCCGGCGTGGAACGCGCACTTTTAATACAAACAATAAGATCGTAATTTACAGGTGCGCGTTATACGCCGGGTATAAAAATGAGAGCTTTAAAAATAAAAAAGTAATGATATGCATGGAATAAAAATTAGAGTTCCACACATATATCGAAACACTGTTTCTACAACAAAAATGGCCTTTCTTATGAACTTAAAGGGTGTTGTATAGTTCTAGAATATACTATTTTTTTCTAAAACTTGGAATAATACCTCGAATAAATGACTCCAAATATAAGAGCATTGCGCACGTACACATGTCAGGTTTCTTTATAAAAAAGGGAGTGCGCGTTATACGGCGAATATACCTAAAACTAAAAATTAGAGGTTGAAAGTATATGGGTGCATTATACCGCGGTGCGCGTTATACGCCGGATTTTACGGTATATTAAAATACACGCGTGCTTTATATAACCCCCCAAGTATGACTGGTATACAAAGTAATATTTTACATATGTATACACGAAGCGATTTGTCTTGCCGTTAGAAATATGAAACGAATGAACACATTTTTAATGCTAGAGATTTTAAATATCTCTTTGGATTGGAAAATTCATTACTTTGTTTTCCTATTCAATTTCTACGCTTTTTAACGACTGTGGTAGCCAAGTACTATCTAGTGTCACCAGAGACGTCTTAAGACTTTTGAGGCCCTGGGCCCCTATGCAAAAGTGGGCCTTATCTGAGGTCTTTAAAAATAGACATTATATAGCATTATTTGTCAAATACCCGTTCAAAGGGTAATTTGAAACAAACAAATGAGCAGGATGCACAATTTCAAATTTCTAGGCATAAACCGGCTCTGTCGAAAGCCACAATACGACTTAATGAGTTGAATGATTGTTTATGGTATTAGGCCTACGCCTAGATATGGACAATAATCATCACATGATAACACAGTCTTACCACTTTTGCCAGTTGACATGCAGTTTGAAATTTCCTGTTTTTCGGAGAATATGTACGGGATCATTAAAATGATCTAGATTGTGATCTTATCAATCCAGAGCCAGAAACGAAATGAGGCCCCGGGCCCAGTTGGCCCATGCCTTGAAACATCTCTGAGTGTTACTATGAAAATTAGCTGTGTGAAGGGGCCGATACGCTTTAAATCTCTCTAAGTTCAAGTGAGTGATACTCTAAAGTAACACGAAAATTACGACATAATTTTGAACCATGGTCAAATGACAAGGAGGATACCTGAGTTGGCATTTCACATTCCAAACTTTCATACCACGGCAACTGGAGGATTTGAGCCTCGACAGATTTATCGTGCTTCGGCCCCTCTACATGAAGTGTCATCAGTGGCACCTAGATTCGAACACAACGCACTGGCTACTAGTTCATGGCCATGACTACTAGGCTGCATTGGCTACCTGTCAAGGTTTAAGGTATCCGAACACATTGATGTGAACCATTCGATCAAAACACATTTTTTTCGTTTTTTTTGTTTATTGAGTAGAGAAATCTTTTGCTTTTACATAACATATATTACTTTAGTACTACATTACATAGAGACATGTTGTTGTTGTTGCTGCTGCTTATCTCCTTGTCTAGCTTCTACTAGACGAGATCTGAGTTTAGTCACCCTCAAAAAGCCATATACTAGTATAGAAAAACCAAGTAAGTCGTCGTAATACAAACCCAGG